TGCCCAAATCTGGCAAACAGAACTGGACTGCCCAAATTCCATTATTCCACGGCAGTATGTGGGCCGGAGCAAGGTGTTGGATCTGGGCCGGTTCTGGGCCAGAATTAAAATAAATGTGGCCCAGATTTGGGCCAGTTCTGGTTTATTTTATTAATTTATTTTCATGGCTGACATTGGGCCTTGCTTTGACTTGCTTGTGGCCCAAATCTGGCAAACAGGAGTGGTCCATCCAAATGCCATTATTCTTCACAGTATGTGGGCCGGAGCAAGGTGTTGGATCTGGGCCAGAATTAAAATCAATGTGGCCCAGATTTGGGCCCGTTCTGCTTTATTTGGTTTATTCATGGCTGACATTGGGCCTTCTTTTGGCTTGCTTGTGGCCCAAATCTGGCAAACAGGAGCGGACCACCCAATTGACATCATTCCACGCGGTATGTGAGCCAGATCTGGGCCTCAGGAATTTTGCTATCTGGGAGTAGATCTATTTATTGTGAAATTACTACATTTCCATATCAATCCATGTTCATTTTTACCGCGAACAATGCACTGTCACTTTAATTCAGTGCGTGCAGCACAGCAAAAATAGACTTGTTGTGGAAACAATCGCTGCACTGCTGCAGACGCATCGCCGGGCCGCAACCGTGTCCGGTGTGAACGGCTCTAATCCGTTAACATGGGTCCCTTCCTGCTGACTCTGACAACATGTAAATATTAATAATATATTGCATAATAAGATAAGTTATATAATTATATGTATAATAAATAAAATAAATGTTCACCAGTGATAAACTCTTTTGCTAAAAGCATTGCAACAAGATAGTTTAGTTGAACCCAAAGTGTATTAATTGACAGCTGGATATATGCAGATATCGGAAATTGTACTTTGGAAGGCACAGCAGATGAATAAATCAGCTAAGAAAACAACACGGCAGGTGTGGGCAATGATGGGATGAACACGGAAGTAAATAAGCTGATAAACTGAGGCAGGTAAACCAAACTGACTGTGAAGTGTTCAAATAAACAGTCTAGTGCAGTAGTGAGCAGGAGACAGACAGAAATCACTGGAGACTCAGAGGTGAGTATAGGAGATCGCTGGAGATTCAGAGGCGAGTATAGGAGATCACTGGAGACTCCGGTGAATATAGGAGATCACAGGAGAGTATAGGAGATCACTGGAGGCTCAGAGGTGAGTATAGAAGATCGCTGGAGACTTGAATGTGAGTATAGAAGATTGTTGTAGATTTAGAGGCTAGTATAGGAGATCGCTGGAGACTTGAATGTGAGTATAGAAGATTGTTGTAGATTTAGAGGCTAGTATAGGAGATCGCTGGAGACTTGAATGTGAGTATAGAAGATTGTTGTAGATTTAGAGGCGAGTATAGGAGATCGCTGGAGACTCGGGTGAGTATAGGAGATCGTTGGAGACTTGAAGGAGAGTATAGGAGATCACTGAAAATTTGAATGCGAGTATAGGAAATCACTGGAGACTAGAAGGAAAATATAGGAGATCACTGGAGATTTGAAGGTGAGTATAGGAGATCACTTGAGACTCATGTGAAATATGAGATCACTGGAGACTTGAAGGAAAGTATAGGAGATCACTGGAGATTTGAAGGTGAGTATAGAAGATCGCTGGAGACTTGAATGTGAGTATAGGAGATCACTGGAGACTAGAAGGAAAGTATAGGAGATCACTGGAGATTTGAAGGTGAGTATAGGAGATCGCTGGAGATTTGAAGTTGAGTATAGGAGATCGCTGGAGACTCGGAGGTTAGTATAGGAGATCGCTGGAGACTTGAAGGAGAGTATAGGAGATCACTGGAGACTTGAAGGAAAGTATAGGAGATCGCTGGAGACTCGGAGGTTAGTATAGGAGATCGCTGGAGACTTGAAGGAGAGTATAGGAGATCGCTGGAGACTAGAAGGAGAGTATAGGAGATCGCTGGAGACTTGAAGGAAAGTATAGGAGATCACTGGAGACTCAGAGGTGAGTATAGGAGATCGCTGGAGACTCGGGTGAATATAGGAGTGAATATAGGAGATCGCTGGAGACTCCGAGGTGAGTATAGAAGATCGCTGGAGACTCAGAGGTGAGTATAGGAGATCGCTGGAGACTCAGAGGTGAGTATAGGAGATCGCTGGAGACGCAGAGGTGAGTATAGGAGATCGCTGGAGACTCAGATGTGAGATAGGAGATCACTGGAGACTTGAAGGAGAGTATAGAAGATCGCTGGAGACTCCAAGGTGAGTATAGGAGATCGTTGGAGACTCAGAGGTGAGTATAGGAGAGATCGTTGGAGACTCAGAGGTGAGTATAGGAGATCGCTGGAGACGCAGAGGTGAGTATAGGAGATCGCTGGAGACTCAGATGTGAGATAGGAGATCACTGGAGACTTGAAGGAGAGTATAGAAGATCGCTGGAGACTCTCACTTGAGGATCGTTTACAGTGAGACAGGAGCGATAGAAGAACAACTGACAGGATTAATATCAACTAATTTTGTTATATGAACATAATTACACTATTTTAATATCATCTAGGAAACGAGTTTAATGTAACTGTGGAGCTTCAATTACCTGCTAACAAGATGCCACACAGTACACACTACCGGCTCATATAGCATGATCTATTCAGCAGTAACTAATGGCACATCACTCACATCAATGTTTGTTAAAACTCCTCTTTACAGAAATGCTTCAGTACAAAAATAAAAAAATGCTGACAATTATTTAAAAAAAAAAAACCTATCCCTCAGTTTGTGAGAAAAAAAAACATGTATTGAGTGTACATTCATTTACAATGGAAGCCTGTGTGGGGCAAGACTTTGCATTGGAATAAACGTTAAAATTCACACAGTTTCAAAAGTATAACCATAAAACATATACATTATACATGTTGACATAAAACTTTATGATAAAATGGCTACTAACCGTATAAGCAACGTTATATTCATTTTTAACTGCTGTGATGTAAATCCGTTCATTTTCGCATGACACACGTGGATACTAGAAACGGACTGTTCATTTACATAGAGAAAACTCAGTAACACTTTATTTTACAGTGTCCTTTTTACATGTTACGTGCACTCACTATAGTATAACAATAAATAAGGCATAACTGCTTGCAACTAACTATTAAAGCCCTAATCTTATAGTAAGTACGTGTTGTTAATTAATATTACTCAGTACTTAAATGTACAGTTACACTTGTAAGAAGGACACTGTAAAATAAAGTGTAACCAAAAAATCCACTACAGGAATTACAAACGTAGATACACATTACATTATCAGAAGTTCATCCTAGAGCAGTCCCACACATAAAGGACAATTTACAGTAAATAACATCATCAATAATAAAGAATCAATAAAATATGTTTTTAAATCTTCTGTAATCATGTACTCCATATTTGTCTTTTGTAAATTAATTTCTGTAAACACATTCTTATGGAATTACTGTCTTTATTATTTGTCTGCTCTCTTAACAGGGACCTGAGCAGTGCTGAGATTCTCTAGGATCAATACTTACAGTTTGCTTGGAAGACAAACAGCAGTATACTGATAAAATAAGGGTTAGCTCACCCTAAAATGATAACTGTTTTAACACTATATGTAAAGATACTCTGAAAATGGAAATGATGTGTTGTTGTTATTGTGTGTGTTTAGCCATGGACGCTGGACATCTCCATCAGCGATGAGAACAGACAGGCCACTGAGAGCATGCTGCTGGAGGAACAGTATCCTTCACTCTTTATGCGTCACTGATTAATTCTTATTTTGTTCATGTTTGGTTTTCACATCCCATAATGATAAATGGATGTGATCATTCATTAAAAGCTTGTGGTTGTTTTTCTTAAAAGAAAAGGTATTATTTTGCCAGTAAAAAAGCACCAAAAGTGGAATGGAAAAATGAGAAGACTAAAGTCAAAAAGTGAGCTTATGTTCATGAATATGTAAACACCTACACAACCATTCAAAAGTTTGGTGTGTATGTAAGATTTTTTAACACTAATATTCCAGCAAAAACACACAAAATAGATAAAAATAGACAGTAAAGACGTTTACATTGTTACAGACATTTCATTTTTGAAGTAAATGCTGAAAATTCAGTTCTGCTGTCACAGGAATAAATTACATTTTAATATATAAAACTGTTAAAGTGCCCCTATTATGCCATTTTTAAGGTTGCTAATATTGTTTTATGAGTCTCCTAAAACAGGTTTACATGCATGCAAGGTCAAAAAACATGTTAGTTTTCTCAAAAAAATAGATTTAATTTTACCTCATTTCTAAATGATTCGTAAACTACTCGTGCGAAGCAGTTCAAAGAATCAGTCTCTCTAAACCCCTCCTTTCCGTGAGCCCTCACTGTAGAAGAAACCGAAGATGCCTAGCAGTACACACATCACGTGAATTCAATTATTGCTATTTGCAATTGTTCAATTTGATAATAATAATAATAATTTAATAATTGTT